TTCAGGGAGTTCTTGGCTCTGGATTGATTCTTTCCTCCTCTTTGTCTGTAGTTTTGTAGGTCTTAATTGCCGCTCATTAACATGCTTATCCAGACCAGCTACTGTGTCACACAGTCAACCATGATTCATTCATGGACCTGCTCCATATAGAGATTCCTGCTCTTGCTAACATTGTTACATGGTACAACTTGCTTTTAAACTTCAAGTACATTTGTAAAAGCATCTACAAGCTCTATTGTCACTACAAATACACCTTATATAAAAATAATAATGATATAATAAAAGAAAAAGAGAGAGGAAGGTAGAAAATAGAAAGCATCCCCAAAAGGGGGCAAATACTAAAAAAGGGACTTTTGTCATACGGAGGAGCTTCACATTTGGGGGGAGAAAGGGGGGCAGACAAAAGGGTTTCTTGCTACATTATTAAACGTGGCACAACTGGCCAGGCCCTGTAGCAGGGACACACCAGGTAGTGGGCATATACAGAAGAGCTGTGTAAGAGAGGGCATAAATTACGTTGTATAAATAGATGTGAGTCTTATTAAAAGGGGCTTCTATACACACAGTGCATCTACACATGAAATTAATGCAAAGCAATAAACACCAGGGCAGCTTGCACCTAAGTCAACTGCTCCTGGGCACAGCGTCTACACATGTGCCTGGAACAGCAGTAATTTGAGCCAGGGTGGAGCAGGCCCCCAGTTGGCTGGGTTGACTGGGCACAATGTACACCCACAGTCAGCATCTACACATGCATTTCGGCACAGTAAAGTACTCCACTGTAAGACAGTACTATCCTACAGCAGAGTTAATTAGTTTGCTGTGCCATAATACTGGTGCATGTGTAGATAGTGACGCTTTACTTTGGAGCTAATTTGTCAACTCCACAGTAAAGCACATGTGTAGATGCACCTAAAGGAAAGTTAGTGTAGCTTAAGCTACAGGGTATCTTAGTGTAGTTTAAGCTACAGCACATCAGCTTTTCTGCACTAACTCCTAGTCTTAGGATGCAAGTAGATGAATGATTTGCTACAAGGTAGTGTATGAACCAGCAGTGTGTCAACTACTTCACATAATTGCTCATGTTTGTGTTAATGCAAGGTAGCTTGTTCCTCACTGAAAGTAAGTTAAGCCACTTTGCATTTCCTGTGATGTAAGAGCAGGTAGGCACCTGGATAGCTATGGCAGACAAGGTTCTTTGGGTGTATCTGATATCTTTTATTAGACCAATTTAAATAGTTGGAAAAAAAAATGTCTTAGCAAGCTTTTGGGTTTAAAAACCCTTTGTCAGGCTGAGGAAGCCTCTGCAGTTGGTGTGTGCTCATCCTAGATAGAATGAATAGTCTTCATTCCATCCAGGATGAGCACACACCAGCTGCAGAGGCGTCCTCAACCTGACAAAGGGTTTTTAAACCTGAAATCTTGCTAAGACATTTTTTTCCCCAACTACTTAAGACCAACACAGCTACAGCCTACACCCCTGGATAGCTATGGAGCACCTAAAGTACCAGAAGTCCACACCCTAACATACTGTAACTTGCTTGTGCATCCACACCTTAAGAGCCCACTAAGTGCAAGAGCATTGTGAAAGTAAGATGTGTCACACAAAGGCACTCTTTGGACATCTTTCTACTCCATGGGATGATGCTAGGGAGCACTGCTATGACAGGCCCTGCCAACTCCCTCCCACTTCACATACACATGTAGTGGCTCTCTCAGTCTTGGGTTTATGTGTGTGACAGTGGGTATTCCCAGTGCTAATGTCTAATGGAACTGGTTTGGGTATGCAGCAAGTGGCTGGTCTTGCTTTCATGGTGGCACTCCTAGTAAAATCTGATGCACTATAAACATACCACAATGTATACAGGGAGTTACACTGGAGTAGTTGGAGTAGCTGGTGTGCTTACTGTGCATTAGCTTCCTGTGTAGACACTTCACCCCCCGGTGTCTGCGTAAATCAGGAGTAACTCCATGGAAGTAAATGAAATTATACTCTTCCACGTATGAATAAAGCAGCTGTTGGCTGGATGCTGTAGCAATCAGTGAAAGTCATTTATCAGCCTGCTGCTGGGCTTAAAACCCTTCTTCAGCTCCACCAATTCAGGATTCCGCATATAGTGAGAGTGCCTAATTGCTTTTTGAGTGCAGCTATTTGATTATGTGGATTCCTCGTTGCTGGGGTTTATGGATTACAGCCAGTTGTGGCTTGGTCCTTGTCAGAACCCATTACCAGTGGAGGAGCTGTGATTCAGAACAGTTGGAGGCTGTGTGATTAATCTTCTGTCACTTAAACAGCACAGAAATGGCTAAAATTGCAGGAACATGCTGCCAAGAAGTTGTTGCTGGTGCTGCTTGAGGATGTTCTTTCAGTCCCTAGGGTAGAGCAAACACTGGCAGATAAGCTCCATTGCCATCAGACTTGTGGTGTTTTTCCAAGTCTACAGAAATCACATGCTTTTTATTAGAAAGATTATTCATTTACCATGTGGAATCACCTAGACCCTTTGCACCAGACGCTACATCCATACACAATCCACTTACAATGAAAAGATGGTTGCTGGTCCCAAAAGCAGTGCTACCCTTATTTATTATAAACATAATGGCAGGTTGGAGTTGGATTTTAATGGTAGGCCAATTGATTCCTCTTCAAATAGAGATGAATGCACAAGAATGTATTCAATGATGTATGCTATGAGGAAGTGATAATCCTTGGCCAACAAAGTTATTTTGGCATAAACGTGCAATGAGATATATGTGCCCCACAAAACAGCAGCCAGGAAAAGGTTGATGAGAGAGGTAACCTCATTACCTTGCCCAGCTGTGACTAAGCAGACTATTAGAGACAGCTGCTATACAAAACTGAAGCCGAGGCAGAACAGGGGACAGCTGGAGACAAAAAAATGTAAAAAGTTCAATAAGAAGCAGCTCAGGGAAACACTGAAGATTAGGAAGGATTGGTCCTCAGCTGCATAATATGAGGGTCTCTGGGCTGAAACTGTGTGGCCACGGGTCCTGTTTCATACTGGACCATCCTATTTTTAAACGCTGTCCCCTGTCTGTTTCTCAATGAAGACTGGACTGCAAAAAGTCCTGTTTTTCAGTTCATTAGTGGAAACTCATGTCAATCACTTGTCTTCATGATTGTATTGGCTGTGCCTAGAGCTAGAGTGGTGCACAGCCAGGAGCAGGATTCGCAGCCAGGGAGAGAGGCGGCCCTTTTGTGGTGGCCCCACCCCTCACCGCTGATTGGCCAAGGGGATGTCTGTATTCTGGGTTTGTATCAGTGGCCACCCTAGCTGAAACCTATAGTGGAGGCTGGGTTTTGGCTTCCTCTAGCTGAAGTGAAAGCCCGAGAAGGCAAGGAACCAAAAGACATGCAAGTCCCAGGTTGTAAGGAAGCATAAGGCTGGCCAAAGACTATTCTGGACTTTGGAGCATAACTGAACTTTTTACTATTCCAAGAGATGCGATTTCCTAAGTTATAGAAAAGCAAGTGGACATAGGTGACAAAGGGTTGCTATGCCAGATCTGAGCTTTGCTGGAGGGAACAACGTGAAGTCCTGCTTGTTGATGCAGTTTGGACTGACAAAACTGCGTTTAAAAGAATAGTCTATTTTGGTTCAAGAGAGGGAGAGGGGTCATCTTGTACTAGAACAGAAAGCAGCGTTGCCAGTTTAGTCTGGTCCTCATTAGGAATAAGTTTCTTGTATTGTATGCTAGTATTCCTATTTGCATGTCCAGACCAGTCCATGAGCAATCAGTACTCTATTTTTAACAGATTTGTCAATGTTTACAAAAGTGCTCTTAGTGCAGACAGCTTTTGTCAGTACTCAAGCAGAACCACCAGTGAGTCCTGCTTTATTTTTCCTTGGCCCTCACTCAGGCAGAGTAAGGATTTCAGGTTCCAACTCTAACATTCTCTGTGGTTTGTTCAGGTCCAATGAAGGCAATAGGCCTACTCATACACAAAGATGACCACACAGGGAGCGCCCCTTCACGTCCTATCCAGACTAGGATTTAAGGTGTTGTGTCTTCTTAATATATTTTGAAAGCCTAGTGGAAGCCTAGGATTTAAGTTAATCGGTATAGTGCACATTAAAGGTGCTCGTCTTGTCTTCATCAGCTTCTTCAAATGTATTGGCACATACGAGCTAACATTCCATCATACAGTTTACCCCTTACTGTAGACAAGACCTGAGAGCAAATCTATATAGAAAATAGAGACTGCTTCAAGTAGCTGATCAGGAATTCCATTTTTAATTGTGTTCCAATTTTTTTGCATTCAGGAAATATGATATAGTTTGTCAACAGAAGCTTAGTGCTGAAGGCAATAGAAACACAAATTTACTGACTGTCAATTTTGGCTGATAAACCATATAAGGTGGGCCATTGTTACATGGGCACTTTCACCCAGAATACAAGTTTTTTTTCACCTTTAACTGAAGCACGTTGACACAGCTTCTGAGAATTATTGTTTGAAATTACGTCTGTACATAACCCTTTATTTACAGTCAGCAACTGTTCTAATTTTTTTAGTGCTAGTTGTATTGAGAAAACTGTTGCAAAGCATGAGTTCATTATTGAATTCCGTCTGTGGTAACCAAAATAAAAAAAATATTGAATTGGAACCCATGGGTTTGTTTTTTTCCCCCGGTCTCTGTGGACAGTTGTAAAATCATTCATTAGGACATATTAAAGGCCAAATGCAATCCTGGTTGCTGTAATGAGGGAGAGTAGAGAAACTGGATTAAATTCTCAGGGGAACCTCTGAGGAGTATGGGTACAGAAGTAGTTGCGTTGGCAATATTTCTACCAGCCTCTTCTTAAATTAAGCTCCTTTACGTCCTGTTTAGAACTTAATTATTAAAAAAAAACCCAGCCCCCCTAAAAACTATCTATATTGGGTCTTTTTTGTCAGGGCAAAAGCCCAGGACAGATGTGCCATACCAGCATACATGACCAGGGCCCTCTCTACACGTTACATTTATGTTGCAATTAACATGCTAATTACAACATAAATGGGGTGTGTCTCATTGGTGTAATCTATGTTTTACTTTGGCACTGCAAGTCTATAGTTGCTTTTCATGCTAGTGTATCTATGGACAAAGTCAAACCATGTTTGTTGTCTGGACAAACCCTACAGAGCAGTAAAGACATTAGCTATTTTCTAATGTCTACCAGTGGTTTACAGAGTGAAGGGATTGTATACTGAAGTTCCTCAAAACTATATGAACTGCTGTCTCCTTCATTGTATAATCAGTGGTGTTCACATGGAACGATGATGTTCTTAAGTCAGTGCAATCTGATTATGTGGTTGCTACTAGTTTTTATGGATGTGCATTTATTACCAATTCTCCAGTCTAACAGGACAGAAAAATAGCTGAAAATGAAACTTTTGGAAGAACTGGAAAAAAAAAAACAGCTTTAAGAAACATTAAAAAAAGTTGGAGATTATCACTTAAAAGGGAGAGACTTCAGACCACAAGTCAAAATTGTTTGTTTCTTTTTCACTGCCTTACTTCAGGTACTTGGCACCTCTGAAGATCCGAGGACTTCTGTCTCAAGAGTAGTACCCCAAATTAATGGACACTTGAAAATTATCTTCTTAACCCTTGTAACTCCATTTTCATTTTTGTAAAATGGGCACAACACCTTCTTCAAAGACCTGTTGTAAGGTAAAATAAATGAACATTGGTAAAGAACTTTGAATCCAACAATGAAAGGTACTATAGAAGAGCAAAGCAACCCACCTAGTCTGGGGGTCAGACTAGATGATCTGTTCAGGTCCCTTCTGACCCCAAACTACTATGAAACTAGTATGAAACCCCAAGACAACAACTTCCTCCCACTTTGTGTAAAATCTTTCCTTTCAAAGATGAAGCTGTTTAACAGGCAGGAGAGGCAGAGCAGCACACGTTGCATTTCCAACACTGGCACAATTCTAGTTGTGTAGATCACAATGGCTCAGAGAGAAGCAACTACATGTAGCTGTTCACCTCATGAGGAACATGGGTTGCCTATAAACGTCATGGTACTAGCTACAATGTGTGTGCTGGCTTTGGGAGCTGGGTATGCCTTCTGGCTGGCAAACCATGCCTCTCCGAACCTACGGTGAGGATAGGAGTCATTTATCATATCTTGTGCTCTTCTTGAGAGCTCATTACTTGCTACTGCACAGGGCTGGATTTGGAAGAAATTCCCTTTACCCCACCAAACTGTAGTGTTTGGCCTTTGTCTCAGGATATCCCAAAGCCCTAACATTATCGCAGTGGATATATACATGCAGGTATGTGTGTACATGTGTATACCTGTCTTATACAGCTACCTGGCCATCTCCCTAGACAGGGAGAGGCAGGATAGTGTGATGGACAGAGTATTGGGAATCAGGAGCTAACAGAATAAGGCCAGGGACCCTCGTTTGCATCCATTTTAGCAAGATCCATCATGGCTTCTGCCAGCCTTGGTGTCTCCCTGCACCTTGTGTTCCTCCTCCCTGTGGCTGCCCTGTTTACATACAGCTATTGCTATTCTCTAACACGGACTTTGGGAAGGTGCTTTTCAACCCCATGTCACTAATAAGAACATAAGAATTACCATTTATGGGTCAGACGATAGGTCAGGGATGGACAACTGCTTTATCTGGCAGGCCACTTAATGAGTTTTTGTGAGCTGTTGAGGGCCACACGTAAAATCTTTCAGAAAATATCATTTTAACAAATTACAGATAAAAAAATCAAATCATATACTAGAAGTCAAACATCTACTAGAACATATTTTATTTTAAAAAATAATTTTTGACCTGATGTATGTGTTTTTGAGTACTGTATATGGAAGCGATTGCATAATAGCTCAAAATAAAGTCTAACTCTTGTGTATTGTGTGTGTGGTGGAGGGGTGGTAGGTGTGTGTGGGAGATGGAGGCAGTGGGGGTGCATGTGGGTGTGGGGAGCTTCCTGCATGCTAGGTTTCAGGAGCCAGCTCCAGGTTCCAGCTACCTTCCGCTCACTTGGCCACCCACAGGTGCAATTTACCCCTGGCCTGGCTGGGTGTGTGGTGCCCAGCTTGTGTCCCTGTGGCTGTTGTTGTTTCCCTGCGCTAGCTGCTGCCCAGAGTGGTGCAGCATGAGCAGGAGGAGAAGGAGGAGCTGCTGGAGGTGGGAGGAGCCAAGCAGTACCTGGGCAGTTGCAGCCGCACCAGAAGCAGCCCCGCCAGGAAGCTGTGCATGATGGCTGGGGCCAGGACCATTGGCAGGCGTGGGTGGGAATGCAGCACATGCTGCCCAGGGCAGAAGTGGGAGGAGCTTGGACCCAGGTAGATCATCACCGGGGCTGACACATGGGCTGGTTTACAATCAATTGGTTGGCACCTGCCTGCAGACCAGATACAATCAATTGGTAAGCCAGATCCAGCCTGCAGGCTGTATTTTGCCCACCCGTCATACGTCCATCTTGCCCAGTCTCCTGTGTCCACAGTGGATTCTGAAAGGGAGGGGAAACAGGGTATGGTTCCCCCCGCCACACTTCCTCTCTCACTTGTAGCTTCCAGGATTTCAGGGCTAGGAAGTTCAGATTCAGGGGCTGTGCCCCTTACTCCAGTGCTCAGTAGCTACTGCTGTCCCTTTCCTCCAGAATTTATACAACTGTCCTTGAGTGTGCCACCTTGGTCTGTCATGGGACACTTATCGAAGGGGACTGGGGGCTGGAGCCGAGAGGCTGGGGCTGGGGGCCGGAAGCAGGAGCTGGGGGCTGGAGGTGGGGGCCAGAGCCGGGAGTTGGCACGGGCTCCGCCGGCTCCGGGGAAGTGCTCCGCTCCCTGGCATCAGGGCCAGGGA